CGCAGAAACTCACACTCCAACCCCTGCTGGGCCAGAGATTGAACACTCAACTGCCAGGTGAAAGACTGGCCGACTTCCCCCACCCGGTGGCTCTATGGCGAAAGACCTGGTGCTCTGCTCCTGTGAAGGTTACAGGCAGGAAACCCCTCGGGGGCAGTTCCGATCTGTGCCACTGGGTTGCTAGGGCATCAGAATCAATTCCATGGTGCCCAAGAACACAACAACAAGCCTTTATTCCCGAAAATGTATCCTATATACCTGAGAGCCCTAAGTCACATCATTATCCTCGTCATTTTTAAAAATACAGTTTACTTTTACATACATGCAGATGCCAAAAGCACAAGTTCATTTTCCCAGCTAGCCTGCTCCTTCCTCAGTCTTGCATGAAGAATGCCAGGGTTCTATTTGGGTAGGTGATCATAGGCTTGGTGGAGTGTTAAGGACTGCTTTCAAGAGCCAGGTCAACTACCTGGGTGCAAAAGACGTGATGTGGAAACCTTTAACGACTTGTGTGCCATCAGGCCTGGTTCTGCTTTTAAGACCAGTTTCCCTACCTTCTAATTGACATAGCACCTGCCTGAAAGGGTTATAGTACAGCCCCTAATACTCACTGTCACCCTGTCCATGCTGACTCAGAGTGACTCTACGGGACAGGGTCGGACTGCCCCTAAGTCTAGTTTCTGAGACTAACTACAGAAGTAGGAAGGGCCATCTTTCTTCCAAGCAGCTGGTGGTTTTGAACTGCTGGCCTTGCAGACTGCAGCCTAATTTGTAAGTACTACACCACCAGGGATCTGTCTAGTGCTTAATACGTTCCTAGATATCCAAGAAATGGTAACTCTGATTATATTAAAAATGTTTCTATTGATATTTACCATATATACTCAAGTATAACCCAAATATCAGCCGAGGCACCTGATTTTACCACAAAAACTGCATTAAAAATGTGCTGGAAAACTTGGCTTATTCACGAGTCTATATGGTAATATTCCAGAGCAATAGCAATAAAGCCTATGGGCCTCTCCTCCTGGTGGATGTACTCAGGTGCGTACACTTCCCCAGAGACATCAAGAACCCCAAAAGGAATGCCTTCTGCGTGAGCTAACTCATCGTGAAGCCCATTCGAATGTCTCCGTTTTTATCTTGGTGCTGTGTTCGGATTTTAATGACTGTTTTCCCCAGATTCTAGCCTCTGTGACATCTTTGCAATTTTTTTTTAGTTCATAGAGTGAGCGGGATAGAACGTGTTGCCAGCATTGTTTCCTCATCGACAATTTCGTATTTCATTCTGTAATTGGTTTTTTGGTTGATTTGAACCTTGATGGTCACTCCCAAAGTGCCCTCGAGGACAAAGGTGGTGTTTTTGAGTCGCCGCTCGGTGAGGGGGAGGCGAGCTGTGATTAGGTGTGTGCTTCGTGGGCTGCACATCCCCTCTGCCCTCGCTTACTGTGAGCTGGTCGTCAGCGGTGTGCACCTGGGCTAGGGTCAGTGTCATTCTGATGCGTGTTGCACTCTGTGCGCCTGGGAATCAAGATGTGAAACATCACCTGTTTGTTTGTTTTTGTTTCTTTCACAATAAGGGCTTTTATTTGTCCACATGAAGTCTGAATTTTAAACAGATTCTTGGACTGGTGGCTCAGAGCCGTCAGCTCGTTCCACTTTCGCACCTGTCTCGTCACCAGTAGTTTTTCCAGAACTGCCACCTTCCCCATGAAGCTCCATGCGTTTTGCCAATTCAAACTTGGGCTTTTTCAGCATCTTTACTTTTCTGACAAACACATCATGGAGAGGATAAATAGACCGGCAAGCCTTTTCTCTGTCTTTCCCAATGCTGTCTGGAATCAATTTATTGACCACTTCTTCCAAGTCATCTGTCTGCACCTCTCGGGTCATGATTTCCATCATTTTTTTTTATTTTTCAGATTTGGCAGACCTGCTGGTGCTGAGCATAAGAGGTCATCCGAATCTGACTATTGCGTGTTTTAGTAAAACCAACACAGAACAGACGAAACAGATACCCATCGGTAGTCTTGACATAACATGAGCTTCAATCATGGTCTGCTATTTCTTGACCAGGGAGCACATCTTGTCCCGCGTAAAGTCCGTGCTGTGGAAGTTGGTCAGGCAGTGTTTGCCCTGAACGTCCTCAGTCATTAACTTAAATTTTCTAAAGGCAACCTCATCGTTTTGCAGATGAGCAAGGCTCACTTCAAAAACTCGACCCTTGAGGCCACCAGATGCAATTTTGGTTCCTTGTGTCCTGGTGACTAGTGTTTTCCCAATATCTCTTAGATGCAACATGGCTGGTGCCAATCTTTCTTAGAAAGCATCAATCACGTTCTTCTTAGCTCCTTTTTTGCCACCTTTTGTAGGGCACCTGTTACTGCCAACCCCCATGGCATCGTGCAGAGAGCCAAATGGGACATCACCTGTTTTTATGAGACCTACAGTTGTGTCATAAGTCATCTTTGTATCGGGGTCGGGTTGGGGTGTCGTTCTTATGTCTTAATGAGGCATAAATCGTATTGTAAGTCTTCTTGGTATTGGGGCAGGAAATCTTATGTTCTGTTTGATTTGTTTCTCCAGGTGGTATTTTCCTGAAGTAGATCAGCGTGACTTGCCGGCATTCCTGTGGGATAGGAATAGGTAAGTAAATGAAATCAGGTGCCTCTATTGTTGTCCTTGGAACACTGAACCAGGTGGCTAGCCACTAACTTCTTGAAGGTGCATTGTTTCAAACTATGGCACCTGCATGGTAAACTGTTGGGGGTTGTTTGTTTTTGTTGTTGGTGGTGTTTTTAGGGTTAAATATACCACTTAGATACACATATATGAAGGTTGTAAACAACCCCATAAAGTTTCATAAACCATGTTGGATTGAATGCTCGGGTACCCAGGCTCCCTTCGAATTTGCCTTCTTCTGTTCTCAAATCACCCCTGAGCACATCGGAGAGCTCCTTGTAAGGGGAGCCTTAAAAATGCCTTCTCTTTTGAGCTCTCAAGGGGAAGTACAGATGGCCAGATCCAGTGGTCACTTCCAGAGACCCAATTTTATCATGTACTGACGGCCCAGCTGAAGACTGCCTGCTAGTTGAAAACAATTGGCCAGTAGATGATTTGTTATGAATCCTACGGCTTCGACTTACAAAGGGTACTTTTGGAAAGTGTTAGTAACAGATCGTGGGTGAGTGATCACCTGCAATATGCATTCAGAAAAAAACAAAGCAGTGGAACATGAGATAATTGTCCCTCAACACTTGTGTCCAGCTCTGCTTCTCAGAAGAAAGCCCCGGCCAATGCCACCTTCCTTCAGTTAAGACTCCGTGTTCTCCCTCCTGCCCTCCCTGCCACCGAGTTGATTCTGACTCACAGCGATCCTAGAGGGCAGGCTAAAACGGCCCCTGTGATTTTCCGAGACGGTCACTCTTTCCAGGAGTAGAAAACTGCCTCTTTCTCCTTCAGACTCTAGGGCTGTGTTCTAAGAATAAGGATGCAACTTAGACCAGGGGACTCAGTAGGTAGTGCGGTCTCTAGGTGGACCCTCCGTGTGCCAGAGACTCTTCACTAGCTCATTTGTAGGAAGGCGATCTTGTTAGCCTAGAGATGCTGAGGCAGGAAAAATGGCTCTTGCTTTAGGAATCAAACTGTGGACGTCTAACTTGTTCTAACAGTTGCGGCTACTTGGGTTAAGGTAGGGAGTTTGGTTCCTTGTGTGATGGGAACTGCAAACACTTAAGGAGTTATGGAATGTATGGAGCCAAGTTCCTTCTCTCGGGCAAGCCAAGGCTGGCCTGAGATAATCAGGCACCCTGAGCAGGCGCCTGAAACTGACCTCTTTGCAAACTGATCATCTTTAAATATTTGCTTACTATGCATTAGTGGGAGTGGGAGAAACTGGTTTTCTCTGAGTAAAGGTTATTGATTAAAATTATAAAAATACTAAAATGTTAAAAAACATTTTACAATATAGTAAATACCTTTTTCTGTATCCTAAAAGCAAGGGAATTATGACGTGTGATTTTTATTGAATCGGATGTTTATGAAAACCTGCATAACATTTGATAATAGTAACACGTCACCATGCATGCAAACCCACCAGCTGCTCGGCCGGAGAACCGTGAGGTCATCCGCTCCCATGAAGACTGACAGCCTTGAAACCCTCGGGGCAGTTCTCCCTGTCCTGTAAGGTCACTGAGTCTGAAGCCACTGACAGCAGTAGGTGGTGGGTTATGGGGTATGATTCAGTCCCATAATTTCAGGTGCCTGGGAGAGCAGCCTTGGTAGTGTAGTAGTTATGAATTGGACTGCTAACCAAAAGGTCAGCAGTTCAAAACCACCGGCCGCTCCTTGGGTGACAGATGAGACGTTCCCTTCCCCTAAGTCTCAGAAACCCACAGGGGCAGTTCCATCCTGTCCTATAGGGGCACCCCGAGGCAGAATTGATTCGATGGCAATGAGCTTGGTTTGGGTTTGGGTTCGTTCGTTCATCAGGTGGTTAGTGGGGCTGGGAGGGAGCCTGGTTTTGCTCACGCTATGCTAGGAGTGAAAATATTCTCCCGAGAGACTGGTCTGTGCTACTGAGTGTCATGCGTCCATCTCCTTGAGTGGAAACATGACTGGTTGTCATTGGGACCATTGTGTGAGGTTGTGTACGTGAAGACCCTGGCTCCAAGACCCCTACTTTCTGATGTAGTGCAGTGATGGCTTTGAGCCCCATGGTGGCTTGTCATCCAGGCTCACTGCCAGGTGGGTCTGGTAAATCCAGCTCTAGGGAAAAAACAGTTCCTTTATGCTTCTACCAACTGTGGTTTCCTTTAAAACTCTCTCCCTCCGAATATCCAACCAGATAAGCTCATCCCCCTCAGTGTTTTGCCTTCTTCTCACGGCTCTTTTTAGGTTGTAAATCCATCCCACTCGAATACAGTAAAACTTGACTGAGTCACATAGGCACAAGCACAATCCTTTGGAATGAATGGCATCCAATCATGGGGAGTCTAATTTCTGTTACATACAGTCACCAGCCTGTTTTATCAGCCTTGTGGAAGATTTCTTTTCAGCTGGGAGAGATGCTCGATGCTTGGGAAGTGCCTGATTCTTGGTGTCAGGCAATGTTTGGCAAAGGTTCCTCTTTTGCGGGTCACAGATCTGGGTTGGGATCCCAACTGTGTTGTGTTGCAGTTGGCTGTGTGATGAGTTAAAGGCATTCCTTTAACTAGTAGAACTACCTTTTCTTCACTTGTGGATAATAGCTGCCTCCCGTGGTGATTTCTGGAAGACTGAATGAGGAAGAAAAACAACAACAAAGGAAATATGTGTGGTATTGAACCCCAAACTCAAATCCAAACTCATTACCACCAAGCCAATTCTTTCTTACTCGATGCAATCTTATAGACTGGGGGTGGGGGTGGGGAGACAGGGCTTTCCACTCCCGTAAAGAGTTCCAGTCTCGGAAACCCATAGTGACAGTTCTACCTGTCCTATAGGTTCCCTATAAGTCGGCATGGACTTCATGGCTGTGAATTGGAGGATGGGGCAAGAACTGCCCTGTGGGTTTCCCAGACTGTACTCTTTAAAGGAGTAGTCGAAAGCCTTGACTTTCTTCTGGGGAGCTGCTGCTGGTTTTGAACAGTTGATCTTGTAGTTAGCAGCCCAGTATGTAACCACTACACCACTAGGGTTCCCCTTGCCTGGCTCCCTGACACAGATCTTGGGAAGAGCACTGGATGGTAGAGTCTTAATACATTTGTCTTGCATTTGTCCGAAGATCTTAACCCACTCCTGGCTCTCATTGGTAAAAATGTGCTATGCCCTGTTTTCCCTGCCCTTTCTGGGAGAGTGCCTTACAAAAACTGGTGCTTAGTCTAAGGGGCTGTTCACAGACTCTTTTTTTCGAGTCTGACTTGTGAATCACAGCTCCACCTATTATAATGAGATTCATGACCGTCATCAAGTGGTGCACACACTTCTGGCTCCCACGGGATGGCTGTGAGGTTGAATGATTCACTGTCTGTGTCGTGGGGACTATGTCACTAGCACCTACCCAGTCTCAGTAAATAAAAGCTTCAGTATCTCTTGAGTTTGAACTCTGGCTGTATTAGTTTGGACCAGGGAAGAGTATGTTTTTTTCCTTGAGTAAGATGAGAATGACCATGCCCTGTAAGGTAGAACGCCCTCATCAGAAGAGGGCAGAATTAGGATTAGTCACTTTGGGTCTTCATGAGTGAACTGAGAAGCAGCGCTTTCCCCATCTGGAAGAGAACGTACTAGTACTGACAGGGTGAGCAAAGTGAATCTCTAGACCTACTTTGTCCAAAATAGTAGCCATATACTTATGCCTGGGGTGACTGAACATTTGAAATACAATATACAGAGACACCAAAATTTAAATTGAATTTTATTTTATTAATTTAAGATTTAAAACGTATGTAATACACACAGCTCATTTATAATCTCGAGTGAACATTCTGTTACTCTAGAAGATTCTAGAAAGAACTAGATATTTTCTAACATAGTTAGGAAAATATTTTCCTCCCGATCCTTTATGAAGAATGGACTATGAAAGGTTTTTTTCCCCCTTTCATTTTTAAATGATTTTTATCTACAGTCCACCAACGAACAAGTTTAAAGGAATTTTAGAAAAACATTTAAAATTAGAATGCAAAACAGGACACTCACTAGATGTGTTACCAGAGCCTTATGTAATAGACCGAGGCTTCGATTTGATGGTCTCTGTTGGCTCTTCCTGTCAGATTTTCTATGAAGCAGACCGAGGGAATGACGCCATGTCACAATGTCTTGCAGCTGCAATGTAATTGATCGGTTGAGCTCCAGCCCTACCCTTGGCCAGGAGCGTACAGTTGCCATCAGCCCTAACCGTCACCCTTTCCAAGGCCGTACATCTTTGCAGGAGTAGACCACCTCCTCTTTCTCCTGAAGAGCGGTGGGCGGATTCAATAACTGTTGTCATTTCAGCTACCTGAAGAAATGCCCATGAGCCTTAGGTAGAAACAGGAGAGGAAAGGAGCTGAGATGAGTGACTATATGCTGGGATGCCACGCAGGATAGCTCCCATCTTGACCGTAAAATATGTGTGTGCTTTTATGAAATTTGCTCATATGGGGAAGTCGTAGCTGCACACATTTCCTTTAGGGTTCGTCTCTATCTTTTCTCATTGCCAAGCCAGTGCATTCCTGCTCACCACGAGAGAAGGCCGTCGGAGCCCAGGTGGCCCAAGGTGTAAGGCCTTGGCTGCTAACAGAAAGGGGGGCAGTTTGAACCCACCAGAAGCTCCTCAGGAGAAGAAACCTGCCAATCTGCCCCAATGAAGATTTCAACCCAGGAAACCTGATGGGGTCTTTCTGCTCTGGCCCATTGGGTTGCTATTAGTTGAGATGACTCAACAGCAAATAAAGACCCTATCTGCTCTTTGAGACTTGGTCATGATTTCCTAACTGAAACCATCTTCTGGGTGAAATGTTGATTCAAGCTGCTTTCCTTGCGTTCATGTTAGGCACCATTGTATTAAATTCTTATTAAATCCTCTGGCGTGGGTACACCTATGGATTTCTTCCAGTCAGTTGGCGAAGTAGCTGTCTTCCAGATCTCTTGGCACAGGCCTCCAGTGTTTCCTCAGTTATTGAAGCCTT